CTGGGGGGGGGCATTTGTAAAAGAATCAAATTCTATAACATATTTAATACATTAAATTTAAAATATTGTTTTAATATCGCATAATGAAAATATCCAAATATCCATACCGCTGTGCCACTAGGAGGCTTATCGAAGTACCCAGTTCGTTAATTACACTAAAAAAATAACATAACTATTACGAAATAGCACCCAAAGACAGGAAACTTTAGCACATCTTCTGGTGTACTGATTCACCGATATTAAAACATTTTTAAGAATCTGTATGATAGAAACTGTCAAAAATAACTTAAATATATAAGCAAAGATTATTATAAGCTTTGAAAACTTCAGTAAATTTAAAATTTTTCTTAGATTTATTTCTTGGTGGTATAGATATATGGACATAAAAGATAACTTTCAGTTAGGTTAGGGTTTGATTGCTTGAAGATTGAGTACGTTATATTGAAATAATTTTGAATATGCAAGTTACGAGAAACCATAGCCGATATAAAGTCATAGTGGAACGAAATGTATAATAACTACGTTTTAACATTATTTGGCGTTACGTAGGTAGTGTGATTTCACCAAAAACTGATCGCTTTTGGGAAGGGAATATAACAACACTTTACGGCGCAAAACATTCATACACCCAGATCATAAAAATTTGTTAATAGGAAATTTAGAGTTTACAAGATGGAAATATCCTTTTTACTCAATGGCGTTGGAAAACAAAATAACATGAGTCAACTTGGTGAACCACGACCATCGAAAAAATGAGACCTACAATAAACTTCTCTCCAGCTGTGTTAGGCAAAGTGTGGCATCCTTTAACAGTTTAGAATCCATGAACACAAAGATTAGTGGCAACTGTACACAACAGAATCAAGAAGGATCTTCATAGGAAAAGGCAACGCAATTCATGAATTTTCATGTTGTTTCCATGACATATCCTATAACCACCAGATGTGCCAGCTTCAGAAGATTGGGCTATCGTTTATCAAATCATTGTTCCCAAGGCATATCGTCCCGAAATATTGAAAGTCTCCCATGAAATTCCTATGGGAGGTCATTTGGGTATCAACAAAACATGCGGCAAAATTACAAGACATTTCTTTTGGCCAAAAATTAGGCAAGACATTTCTCAGTTTTACAAAACTTGTCATATCTGTCAGTTGGTCGGAAATCCTAACCAGAAAATTCCTATTTCTCCTCTGAAACCTATCCCAGCATTTGAAGAACCCTTCAGTCGTGTGGTTGTTGATTGTGTTGGGCCTTTACCAAAAACTCGATCGGGGAACCAGTATTTGTTAACTATCATGTGCGCATCCACTCGATTCCCTGAAGCTAAACCTTTGAGAAACATTTCGGCCCAAAAAATTTCTAAGGGACCAATTTTTTACTTTTGTTGGCTTGCCCAAAGAAATTCAATCTGATCAAGGATCAAATTTTATCTCAGGATTTTTCCAACAAGTTGTTTATCAGCTCGGTGCTAAACAGATCAAATCTAGTGCATATCATCCAGAATTGCAAGGTGCTCTTGAGAGATTCCATTCTACCTTGAAGAATATGATGCAGACTTACTGCCTTGATAACGAGAAGGATTGGAATGAAGGAGTTAATTTATTATTATCTGCTGTTCGTGAATCAGTTCAGGAGACATTAGGGTTTAGTCCGTTTGAGTTGGTGTCTGGCCATTTAGTGCGTGGCCCTTTGAAGTTGCTGAAGGAACAATTGTTGGAAGATAATCCAAAAGAATTGCACTTATTGGATTACGTTTCCAAGTTTCGGTCCAGACTCCTATGTGCTTATGAATTGGCTCCAGAAAATATGAAGTCATCCCAAGTGAAGAATGTTTATGACCGTAAGGCTGAAGTTCTATCTTGGTGACATGGTCTTGATATTGTTACCCAATATGGGACATTCCCTCAGAGCTAGTTATCATGGTCCCAATGAGGTTGTTTGGAAAGTTAATGATGCGAATTATGTTGTAAAAACACCTGATCGTCGAAAGGCTACCCAGCTGTGTCATATTAATATGTTAAAGCCCTACCGTATTCGAGAAGCATCCGAAGATATTTTAACCATTGAGTGTTCTCCTGATACTGATGACATTGGCTCTGACTCAGACACCCATAAATTTGAAAATATTGGGGACGAATGCAACATTAAACTGAGTAATTCTGACCAATCTCGATTCGAAACTCGAGCACTTGCCTCCTGAAGAGAAAGATAAGCTTGCTAGTTTATTGCATGAATACGAATGTACATATCCAGATGTCCCTAGTAAAATCGACATCGCTGTACATGATGTAGACATAGGTGATGCTTCTCCTGTAAAACAACATCCCTATCGGGTGAATCCAATCAAAGCCAAGAAAATGCGTAAAGAAATATTTTACATGTTGGAAAATAGCATTATAGAACCCAGCAAAAGTGATCGGTCTTTGCCTTGTGTACTAGTCCCTAAATCTGATGGCTCAGTTAGATTCTGTACAGACTTTCGCAAAGTGAATACTTTGACAAAGATAGACTCCCACCCCATTCCAAGAATGGAAGATTGTATTGATAAAATTGTAAAAGCCAGATATATCACAAAGTGTGATCTACAAAATGGATACTGGGCTGTCCCTCTAACTGACAGAGCAAAATAAATCTCTGCTTTTGTTACTCCCGATGGGTTATATCAGTACAATGTAATGCCTTTTTGGATGACAAATTCTCAGGCAACTTTTCAGCGAATGATGAATCAATGCCTGAACAATCTGTCAAATGTTGGAATTTATGTTGATGATATTGTGATCTCCAATGACACATGGGAAGAACATTTATATGTGTTACGTGATGTTTTTGAGAGGCTGAAGAAAGCCAATCTCACTGTAAATCTCGAAAAAAAAGTGACTTCTGCAAGGCCAGAGTTGATTATTTAGGTCATGTAGTATGCCATGGCCAAGTTTTCCCAATTCAAGCCAAAGTTGATTGCATTGTGAATTATCAAT